GGAGCACTGGAACAGGCTGCCCAGGGAGGTTGTGGAGTCTCCTTCTCTGGAGATATTCAAGACCCGCCTGGACAAGGTCCTGTGCAGCCTGCTGTAGGTGACCCTGCTTTGGCAGGAGGGTTGGACTGGGTGACCCACAGAGGTCCCTTCCAACCCCGAACATTCTGTGATTCTCTGATTTTCGGTTACCATTTCCCCCTGGATTTTCCAGTAGCGCTGTACCTAGAGCATGTTAGGTGGTGTGCTTTTTTTTTTTTTTCTCCCCTGTTTCTTTCAAGTCTTTGTTGAGAGTGGGTAGAGAAGGGTTTTATCCGTTCGCTGCCTTTGCAAAGACTGAATGTGCTGAAGGTGTCCTGCCGCCTGGGTCCGTGATCCGGAGGGAGCTGTGCTGCGTGTGGGTGGCTTCGAGCCCGCTGCGAGCAGGAAGCTCCCGAGGCCGGGCAGGGTGGAGGAGGAAGGGAGGGAGCGCGCAGGGTGTTCAGCCAGCACTGAAATGACAGAAACCTGCCTTCCTTCCCACTCCTTGGCTTGAAAAGCGCAGAGGCCTCGCACATGCAGAACAACGTGTTTGCTGTTTACTCGCACGTACAGAACAGCGTGTTTACTCACGTACAGAGCAGCAGCATGTTTACTGCATGGTAGGGTCATTCTCTCGGACAGGTGGTGGCAGATCTGCAGCTGTGGTCCTTAGCCCAGAGAAGCTGGGTCTGATGTTAGCAGACGCTGTGGTGGTGTTTTGTTTAGTAACCTGTCATTTGAGGCGTCAAAGCTGCCAGAACTGAGGAGGAAAATGTAGATAACACTGAATCCTTCAGCAGTCTCTGGCTGTCCTTCCAGCGTGTTGCAAGCACCCCCCAGCTCCTTGCCCTGTGCTTGTTTGTGAGGACTCCGCAGCAGTGTCTGGTATAGAATTCCCTGGGTAAAAGTGTTTCAACATAAAAGTTTGACCTATTTCTCCTTAGATGTGCTGTTTTTTTGTGTTGAAGTGATTTTTTCTGTATTTCCCTCTGCCACAAGTTAATTACTGGATAGAATGGTATGTATATATTAAGTAGTGCGTTGCTGACAGAAGACAGTCTATGAGTGTTGGCACATGTCAGCAGTTCCATAAACACTGATGACAGTCCTCAGGTTTTTATTTCTCCCTCTTTGTTTTCAAATAGAGAAAGGGTATAATTGTGGTTATCTAAATATTAACAGTTTCTTTTAAAATTCTGATGTCTTAATTGCATTAGTCAAAGACCTTTTCTCAGCAGTTGCAGTCTGACACCTTTGTTAAGTTAGCATTGCCTGAATAACTTAAATCACAAATCTGTATGCCAAATCAGTATTTTGTAACTATAAATGATGATACTCAAATTGTTCATACTTAGGCAATGTTCAGTGACTGCCAGTGACTTGATTTCTGATGAAAATTCTTGTTTTTGTAGTTCTGTGCAACATCCACACTGCTGGCACCAAGAACAGGAATGCAGAAGGTGGAATGATTCTGATTCTTTGGTGACTGATGAATATCAGTGTAGACATTTAGACCAATGGCTGGAGAGGTGAGGAATAAATGCGACATTTGTTTAAATCTTCACTTTGCTGCATTGTCATCTTTAGGAATCCAACAAAACCTTGGATGTAACTAAATTGAATGTTTTCTAATAGTACAGTAGCACAGAGTTAGCAAATGATATCTACATTATGCAAGAGTAGACCATTCGGTTTGGCTAATTGCCATATGTGCCGTAATATTAGCAAGTATTCCATATGAAAGAGAGAAATGGCATATACTGATGCAGTAGTTTGAGACCTTTATTACTGAAATCTTCAGTGTTAGTGTAAAACTCCCATGGAAGCAATATGCTGTTACTTTTTGTGCTTTGCTTACACATCTCTATGTGTAAGCGTGGGCAAAGGATGATGTTTGACGCTTCACTTGACAGTGCACTGGGTATATTCAGCCGTGCTACAGTTTTTAGTAAGTATCCTTTATTTTTTTTTGTCCAGTACCAAGAACAATTTGAGATGAGATTGAATTTTATAGGTAGGTAGTTCTAGGAGTATCTTGCTTTGCTTTTGCGTATTTTAGACTAAGACGTCAGGTGGAGGAAGTGGTTGAGATTGGTATCTTAATGTCTGACAGGAAGTCTGAATAGTGGTGAGTGGTTGGATGTGTGCAAAAAACTGAGTAGAAGGTAAGTTAGAAGAGATGAAATATTTTACCAAGGGCACATGAAAACTTTTTATATAATTTATACATTTCTGAGTGTTACATTATGCAAAGGCAATTGTCATTTCTGATGGCATATTTAATATTGCTTCAGTTAATAAATTAACCTTTTGAAGAGCTCATGAAAGCACTTGTGTTCGGGAGTGTTTTCTGTTTCTTTGATGCTATCATAAAAAATACTAAGAGTATGTTATGATTGTGAGTCAAACTGGATTTGCTAGCAGCATTCTGTTTTTCTCTTGCTGAGTAGATATGTTCCTTCTTGGTGTGGAACCTTCATGTTGTGTTAAAATGACATTGGTAGCATAGGTGCTAATTTCATCTATTGATGTGAAACTGTTTAGGCAAAGTAAGACTGCAGGCTATGTCTGCTTCTGTATTACTTATGTCAAATGTTGAGGCATTAACTTTGAAAGAAGTGGACAGACTGAAAGGAGAAGTTCTCAACACTTCACAATATTACAGCATTATACAGTATTTATTATACGTTTTAAGTTAATGAGGAACCTGAGGAAACAGAGTAGGGGCATGCCCATGGTGTTACAGTTGTGGAGCTACTTTTGTCCACTGTTGAAGTTTCTGTTCATTAAATATGTTCTAAGCAGCAAATGTTGATACTGAGTTCTCATTATTTTCCAGCTCTACAACACCAGAACATTCTGGGCCTCTATCTATTTGCCCTGACTGGGAAGGCAGAATTGAAGAAAGCAAAACAATGCGGACATCAAATAAAAAAGTGACAAAGTAGGTATTTAACAATTACTAACTATTGTTGCGTTGGTTTTAGCAATAGCCATCTAATGATCTCTGACTACTTTATGTGCATTAGTGAAGATTTGAAACGCAGTCAGGCTGTTTCATATGAGCCTGAAAGAAGCCTTGAGAGAACAACACTGAGAAGTCTTATCTCAAAAGCTGCTTCTATGATCATTTCTGATTCTCTTCTTTTTCAGCTTAAATTGCATATTAATTACAACTTTACATAAGAAAAAGTACTGGAATAATGAAAGGAAAAATGAAAACCAGCCATCGAGGCTTGAGTTGAGAAATGGCTACAAGATCATTCAAGCTAGCCTACTTTAAATTATCCATCCTCATTTTTTTGAGTTTAAACTTTTTCATATTTATATTAGGAGGTTGTTACACATCTATGTAATAATCATGTATCATTTGATTTCCTTGTTGTAGGGCTAGGTATAAGCTTCTAGTAAGGCAGTTCTAGCACCAGTACCCTCAGGTGTATGTTTACTTGTTACAAACCTGAGCAATTGCATGTTCTTGCAAAACCTACTCCTATAGTGATTCATTTGGTTAGCACAACTTCCACCTGTGTAAACTAGTGAAGTAAGAGTTGTGCTCACTGTCTATCAGATTAACAGTGTATACAGTTCCAGAGTATGTGTTTATATAACTTGTGGTAAAGCTATTAAGGTTCTTTTCAACTTAATTCTAATTTTTACTTTTTTAATTTCTGTTTGAAGTGATTCTGCTAATCCACCTGAAAGGGAAACAGATGAAGTGGTTCTGAGGAGAAGACAAAAACAAATCAATTTTGGAAAGAATACCCTTGCATATGACAGATACATTAAAGAAGTTCCAAAGTAAGTTACACTGTGTTGTACACTTCCCTATAAACTCTTATTTGTTCCTGACGTGAGTGTAAATCAGCAGACAGCTTTAGTTCTCTTCAAATTATGTGAACATAAGTGAAGAAAACTTAATTTATTTTTATCAAAGAGAAGCCAGATATTTTCCGCATACAAGCAAATTTAGATAGGGAAAATTTAAAGCTAAAGGTTCCCTTTGTATGTTGATGCTGCTAGTAGCAGATATACTTTAAATAAATTCTGTATTAATCATCTCCTTGTGATGCTTCTGGTGACTGTGTTGCTAGGCCAGTGTGAACTTAATTCGTACCAGGAAATGACAGCTTTGAATGAGGACTGCATAAAGCCTTGCATTGAAGTATTGGTAAAGGAAACCAGGCTTCAGTGGTTCATCAGTGACTAACAAATCAAAACCTGGATTTCTTGCTTTCTCTGTCATTCCATTGGGGCTTCAGTCTGTGAATTATGGCACTTGCGTCAAGATTTCGTAGCCAGGCACCTCTGCTTACTACACAGCTGTCAAGATTCAGAAGCTAGTCTGTACCATTGTGTGGATGTGCATTTGTGTTCTTGATTTTTTACTTTGAGGGCTATTTTTTAGAGGTGTTTTTCTAAATGAAGCTTGCTACTTCCAGTTGCCAGCTTTCTGTGGATTCTGCCTGTAAGAGTCTGTTGTGAAAATTGCTAGCCAAGTGCAGTGGGCACTGCAAGCTTGTTGTTGAGCAAAACTTGAAAGATTAGACTAGATTACTAAAAATCAACAACACCTGTTGTAAATGATCACATCTGCAGTAACACTTCTTTCTTCAGAGAGTCTTGTATTGCTTAGTGAATTGTAGTTTTGCTTGTTGCTTTGTCATCAGTGGTAGGACTGCAGTCAGTTTTACAGTGATGCCTGGCACTTGCATAGCTGTGCTGTGGTCAGTTAAATCGTAAGTGGAGAATAGGAAAGGGTGAGAAGAACGTTCAGAAAAAAACGTGGGATAAATTTTAAAAGAAGAAGAGTTCTAGGTGGCAATTTAATGGGGTAGTTTATAATAGTGTTCCTTAGCAGGAATTTGTTTATCCTGCAGAAAATGTTATGGCTAAGTATATTGATCTGTGAAGCTGGTAGGGGGAGCCGCTTGAGACTGAGGTACTTGGTATGATTTAAAACATTATTGTGATATGCTTTCCCCCAGGCATAAAGCTGACTGCAGTGTGGTAGTACTAGAAACAGGATTATTTTGTATGGAAGGTACAGTTTGAGTGAGCTCTCCAGTAATCTGTGGTGGGCAGGATCTGGTTTTGGGATACCACCTGAGAAATAGCACTTCCAGCCGTGGGGTGATCCCAGGCAGTGTTGTTACAGCGTCTGCCTGGTGTAGATTCAGTGGAAGGGCGTGCCATTTACACTTTACCCAGAGAGTGGGGGTACTTCTTCTGTACTCCCAAAAGACAAATGCTGTTTAGAATTACAGTAATCCCCATTGTAATAATGCGTGGACAATGGTGGAATGAAAGTTCAGTAGAAGTATTTGTGGGTTGACCGCTGCCAGCAGCCAAGTATCCACACAGCTATTTGCTCCCTCCCTCTCCTCAGTGGGATGGGGAAAGAATAAGAGCAGCAGAATACAGAAAACTGATGGATTGAGGTAAGGGCAGTTTAACAGGTGAAGGAAAGAAAGGGGGGAGAAAGCAAGTGATGAAATGCAATCACTCGCTACCTCCCACAAGCAGGATGGTGCCCTGATAGTCTCTGAGCAGTGACTGCTTTGGAAGACACCTGGTCTTCTTTCTCTGCACCGGTATTTATTGCTGAGTGTGACATTACATGGTGTGGAATATCTCTTTGGGTAATTGGAGTCAGCTGTCTCGGTGCTTTCCCCTCCCAAATTCTTGTTCACCCTCAACTTAATGGCTGTGGCAGGGGGTGAGGCAGAGTGGGAATAAGAGAAGGCCTTGAAGCTGTGCAAGCACTGTGCAGCAAGAGATGAAAATTAGTGTGTTATCAGCAGAGTTTTAGCCATGAATCCAAAACACAGCACTACAGGGCCTGCTATGAAGGAAGTTAACTCCATCCCAGCTGGACTCAGTACAATGCTAAATACAAGCTGCATCTGACTCAGGAAAACTGAGAAGTAGGTGGAGGCTAGGGTACTGTTGAAGGGGTATGAGTTTAGCTGCTTCTGTTTCATGTTTGTCCATGGGTAGTAGGAATCTGCTTTTGGCAGCTGTCAGAGTGCTGGGCTGAATGAACCTCTGGTCTGATTCAGCATGTTATTGTTAGTTGTTGCTTGTGTGGTCTGCTTTTAACAATGCTTTAGAATCTACCCATTTCAGTGAAGTGTTTAAAAATACGAGCATTTTATTTATTAGGGTACCAATGATTGCGTGATCTGATGGACTGAGGATTTTTTTTTTTTTTTTTTTTTTTTGAAGAATGAAAATAATGCCCTGAAATACAAATGTCACTGTGTGTTTACAGGAATCAGCGAATACCAGGAGTTCATCCTAGAACTCCCAACAAGTTTAAGAAGTACAGCCGTAGATCCTGGGACCAGCAGATCAGGTTGTGGAAGATAGCACTGCATGCCTGGGATCCTCCTGCTGCAGAAACCTGGGACCTGGAGCCAG